GACTTAAGCCTAATGTCTGGGAAGTGTAATCCCTTGAACTCTTAAAGAAATATACTGGTGACTTTACTCTTTCCTTTTGGGTGTTTAAGACCATATACGGTTGGCTCAAATCAGTTTATTTTAATATTTAAGATAGTTTGAGGATCTGTTCCTCAGGGGGTCACATGGGCTTGGGAGGAGCCCTTGGCTCCTTTCTTTTACCAATTCCATCTATGTGAAGATAAGTCAAAGGTCCTGCTCGACCATGTCTGGCTTCACCTGGAAGCATGGATGAGATGTTTCCTCTGAGTTGACCCTCCTCTTTGTAGACAGAGCACTGGTTCACGTCTATCTGGGTGGGTCTCCATGGCCTCCCTGAACAAGAGGACAGGTGACTCATCACAGTTACAGCACATTTTGAGAGATGCTCCATAATCCCCTGGAACTTGGTCGACCTTGGAGGACAAGGGACAAAAACTGTCCTTTAAGTCCCTCTGACCAGATTAGTATAGGCCTCAAAGTATGGCTGTTAAACATCCAAGAAGGTTAGTTCCACCAGTCTGGTACTTTTAATTACCATGTGCTATGTAGATAAAGTTTGGGTAAAAAAAACAAATATTCTCAGATAAACCTTGATTAGATATATTTTTTGTTCCTTAAACTAGTTGACTAAACTATGACCTTAGAAATTTTAAGATTATGTGTATATTATTTTTGTCTTATCCTTTATATATCATAACAGGCCTACACAGACGTTCATCACTTGCTTAGGCTTTCTCATTTTTTCTATTTTGGAAAATATCCCCATTCCCATATTTTTTTAACGTATCCTTTTAACATCTTTTACATTCTCATTTTCTTTTCATTTTTTAAAAATAATTATGAGACATAATAGCATTAACATATGAATTTTCCATCGGTTGTGAAACTTCTTTTCCTGGGGATGCTAAGCAATGTTTATTCCCTTTTAAGGTTCTAGTGTTTAGCCAATGTTTGATTAAAGTTTTACTGGGGAACCAAAGAATTTACTGAGCTTACTTACCGAGCTAACTGGGGGGTTGCTGAGGTGTATGTATGACCTAAGGGTATGCACACTGGAAAGTTTTAAAATATATATATATTTTTTTTTAAAGTTTATGTGTATGAGTATATTGCCTGCATATATGTAAGTATGCCTGTGTCTGCAGAGGTGAGAAGAGAGCATCGAATCCCCTGGAACTGAAGTTAGAGACAGCTGTCAGCCACCATGAGGGTGCTTGGGATCAAACCCAGGTCCTTTGCAAGAGCAGCCAGTGCTTTTAACTGCTGAGCCATCTCTCTAGCCCCAGAAGTAAAGTTTTGTTTTATTGTGTCATGATGAAAATTTTTGGTTCATACTTATCATGTGTAATGAAGGGATGGATCACTTTGGGGTAGTTTATCTTCCTGAGAGAGGCCAGGGGACAGCTGTGAGGAGGATGAATGACTGTGAGTCTGTAGATACAAGATAACTCCTTTTTCAGATACAAGATAACTCCTTTTTCTTTCTAAAAAAAATTGTTTTGGAATAAAACCCTTACTTGATACCTAGACATATGACAGTTCCTTATACATCTTTTTTTTTTTTTTTTTTTAAATATCTTTTTGAAGCAGGGTCTCCCTATAGCCCCAGCTGTCCTGGAACTCACTATGTAGACCAGGCTGGCCAGATCCGCCAGCCTCTGCCTCCCAAGTGCTGGGACTACAGGCATGCGCTACCACACCCGGCTCCTTATACATCTTAATTAGGAAGTACTTTACAGTTTTAAGAAAGGAGCCTTAGGGCCTGGAGAGATGGATCAGCGGTTAAGAACACTGACTGTTCTTGCAGAAGACCTGACTTCGAATTCCAGCACCCACATGGCAGTAAACAACTGTTTGAACTCCAGTTCCAGGGGATCCGACAGTCTCTTCTGTCCTCCGCGGGCATTGCATGCATGACACGGGTGCACTTACCTACATGCACGCAGTACACACATACACATAAAATAATAAAATATTTTTAAAAAAGAAAAGAGTCTTAGTAAGGTTATTCTTATTGGATAATTGAGTCAATTTTTAGTTGTTAATGTGGATTTTGTCTTTTCCTTTTTCTTTGAGGGGTTGGACATAATTGCCTTATTTCATTTCAGGGATCCTTCTAAAGTAAATATTCTGGTACCTGGTGCTGGACTAGGAAGATTGGCCTGGGAAATAGCTATGCTAGGTTATGCTTGTCAAGGAAATGAATGGAGTTTTTTTATGCTCTTTTCTTCCAACTTTGTACTCAACAGGTATTTAATTTATTTTTTTGCTGGAAATTGCCTTACCTATTTTTGAACAATACTGAACTCAAAGAAATATATGTAGTTACATAGTGATTGATAATATATTTTAATTGAATTCAAAATGCTTATACCAGTTACCCCTTTAGCCAATGTTGGTAAGTTAACAATGTTGAAACAGGATGAGTAAATGACTTTTTAGAAAGCAGTTGAGCATTACATGAAACAGATGATTTCTGTACAGAATCTTTGGGATTAAATGTGATCAAAGGACAGAGTTTTTCTCATTGTTCCTTAAACCTTTTCATTCTTTGTTTTGTTAGTGCAGTAAGAACTTAGGATAGTAATCGCTACTGTTCTCTCTAATTGAGTTATATTAAGTGGCCAAGTATACTCACGTGACTAAGTTGGAAAGAGGCTAAGAACATCTGTGCCCCCTATCAGAAGGTTATGGAGAAGAGTTATTAAAGTCAGAAGACATGTGTTAGAGAAAAAGAAACAGCTTCCTGTTTAGCACGTTACTGGTACTTTACTCAGTTATTCAATGCTATGTTCTTGGTGGCAGGCCAAGTTGTGGGTTGTTACTGAGAAGGGGAAATGAAGAGGGCTGTCAAAATGCTACTGTTTTGGTAGCAAAACCAGTTCAATTATATTTCCTTACATTTGAGGTTCAGAAATACATCTAGCTGGGTGTGGTGGCGTGCTCCTGTAATCCTAGTGCGTGGGAAGTAGAAGCTGAATGACCAGATACACCGTGTGTTTGAGGGTAGCCTGGGTTACATGAGACCATCTCAGATTTTTTTTTAAATGCACAATTATATCTGAAATTTTCTTTTAACCATGGTTGGTTGTTCATCTACGTGGATAAGCAGTTTCAGATAACCGAGTGCAGTGTGGGGTAACAGTGCTGAGGCCTCATGAATCCTATGTGAAACCTTCAGTCAAATAGGTTACTTTTTAGTGCTTCAAGTAGACTTTCTTGGTAAAATGTGTAGTTAATCCTGAATGTTATGCTCGTATTTTACAGATGTTCTGAAATTAACAAATATAAACTTTATCCCTGGATCCATCAGTTTAGCAATAATCGGAGATCAGCTGATCAGATTCGACCCGTGTTTTTCCCTGATGTTGACCCACACAGTCTTCCTCCTGGTTCTAACTTTTCTATGACAGCAGGAGATTTTCAAGAGATTTACTCAGAATCCAGTAAGTTCAAGTATTTAAAAGATCTTGTACTTTATTCTAAACAGTGACACACTGTTTTAACCATTTATTTTGATGGTAGAATGAGGTGTATTTAGTAACAATATATGTTATATAAAAGACATAGATAGGAAATGTAAAGAAATATATGTACAATTGAGGTTTTATAAGACGCCCCGAACAAAAGTTTGGATTTCTACTAAATGTAGTAAAGATACAAATAGACTAGTGTGGGAATGGAGCTCTGTAGAGAGACGATGACAGATAGGGAGGGATAGTATTTGAGCTGCAGGGTCAGATTGGCAAGGGAAGAAATTTAATGGAGCTATGTCTTGAAAAGTAGGTTAGCTTCATATTATGAAAGACTTTTGTCTCACATTGGAAGTTAGATTTCAGTCAGACAGATTTTGAAAACATTTGAAGTAGGTATTAGAGGGAAGCAGGAATGGACAAAGGGGAAGGTGAATTGGCAGTGACGCAAAGGAAAACAATGCTGAGGGATAAGCAGGATCATTCTTTCAACAAATGTTTGTTTGCCACCAATTAAGTACCAATTAGCAAGACAAAGTCTCTATCCACAGAAAACTTATACTCTGAAAGGGACGAAGAGGCAGTAACAAATATAATATTGTGAGAAAGGAAATAAAGTAGGGTCCCAAGCCTTTCTAAGCACAGAAACTAAGAAAGAAAATGCCAAGCAGACATTGGAAAGTTCAGAAGCAACCAACATGTTTAAGGAATGGCAAGGGAAGGGAGATGAGGGGAGAGTGCTTACTTTGTTCCACAGGAGCTAGGGTGGAGGAAGTAGTGGGTAGGTGATAAGAAGATGGAGAATTGGTGAGGCAGATGAACGCCACAGCAAGAAGTGAGTTGTCTCTCATAGAGAGACAGGAAGCCAAGGAGAGAAGGCTTGAAGTGGGTGAATAATGACATAGAAAGTTCTTGTGTATTTAGTTTTCTAAGAGTAAGTTTTTATTTACCTCTAAAGTCTGAAATTGGGGCAATTTTAGCCATTCTGAGGTTAGAGTGGCTAGCTACTGGGTAAAAGTTATGGAGCAAGGCCTCAAAATAGGAACCAAACAGTGGAAAGCCTCAGTTACGCACCTAAGAATCCCTTTCCTTGGGACCGGGGTCGGGAAGGTCAGAGGGTGCATGGCTCCTCTACTGGGCCAGGTGCCTTTACTACTACAGCAGCATTGGTATAGACACTTCATCTTGAATCTGGTCCCTATCTCTATGATAGGCAACAGCTTCCAAGAACTAGTGTTGTCTGCTGGGGGTCCCATCTCTGAGTGAGGCTTCCCCAGCCAACTTCCCCTTGGTGATTATCCCACGATATTTGGTATTTTGATGTTATTCATTTCTAAAATTGGCAGGAAAGGCCTACAGTCTTTCTGAAACTAGCCAGAATCAGTGGTTAGCACTGGTTTAAATCAGAATTTTAAAAATAAAATGACTTATTTTGCCTCAACAGATTTTAAGTGAAAGGTAGGGTAGATAGCCCAGTGGTAGAGCACTTTCCTAGCATATGCAAGACCCTAGGTTTCAATCTCCATCACCAAAGTAAGTTAATGAATGAATAAAACTGAAGGCTGGCAGTTGAGTAGATGGTAAACAAAGCTCTTAAGAATACCACTTGTTAATGGTATTTTGTAGTGGTATCACAAATTATTTCCCAATAAATGGCTGTATCTTTCATGCAGTAATGATCTGGTTGCCTTGATTCTAGTGTTGATCAGAAGAGTATAGTGTCTGTCCCTGCAGTTAAATGGAACAGTACTCTGTAAAAGGTAATTGGTGAGCTTAAAGGATTAAGGAAAGGAAAAAAATCAAAATGACAGGTGCAGTGATTTGTTTTTTGTTGATTAGATACCTGGGACTGTATTGCCACCTGCTTCTTCATAGACACAGCCCACAATGTAATTGATTATATTGATACAATTTGGAGAATACTCAAGCCAGGTGGAATTTGGATAAATCTTGGTAAGTGCTTCAGTGTTCACATTTTATATATTACTTTTAGTACTTGCAGCTGCTTTTATGCTTGGTAGCTCAAATGTTTTTGAAAGTGATAGTTATGTTTTATGTTTTCAACTTGTGCAGTATCTGTTAGACCACATCCTAGTGGTGATGTGCAAGAACAGTGGACGTCCAGACACTGGCAAATTCCTACTTAGGTCAGTCTCCCAGGAGTCCTAACCTGAGAACATGCTCATTTGTAAGCTGGTGATTTGGTAGTTATTCCCTTATCGCCAACTCCGTGTAGGCAGCGGCAGTCCATTCTGTCAGGAAGAGAGAGTTTTTGTTGTTTTATTAAAAACCTTTTGGGGAAATATTTTACCTCTCATGAAATCCTCCCCAGTAGGTGTAATAGTTTTTCTCTCTATAGAAATAAAATTTCATCTATGCAAAAAAGGTACTCAAGCCTCCTGCCTGATACTAGAAATCAAATTATGAGTATGATTTGTTGCCCCCCTCCCCATCCAGAATATAAAACATTTTTCATCTGATTCTAGAGAATTCAAAAGAGAAAGTAGAAACACTGCTTCTAGTCTTAGTCCTGATGGAAAATTTTCTGGTAAAAATAAAACCATTACACAGTACAGTTGACAGACCCTCCGTGATAGCAAGTGCTTTGTGTGTCTGCCCTTTTCTCTATAACCCTCATCTTCAAAGCCTTTATACTCCAGCTTTGATCTCTTTCTGAACATAGCTTATTTATCTCATTAAAGATAAACATATTTAAATTGGTATTTCACTATACTCCCTTTATTGAAGTTTTTGATCCTAGTAACTGAGTTATGGTAAGGTTTGCTATCCTTCTAAAATACTTAACTTTCATAAAAGCAGCTTTGTTCATGAGCACTTGTTTTACTAATATTTTATAATAATAATAATAATAATAATAATAAATGCCTCAAACAAAGTTGGCCCTTACAAACAAGGGTACTGTTGGCTAAGAGTCTTTGCTACAGTATGTCACAGGTGACAAGCCATGGAGCATGCTGGCTAACAAGAGAGTGATTAAAGATTCCTGTCATTCAGCCAGAGTTCCAGAATAATTGGGGAATTAAAATAATGGTAAAACGTGTGTTAGAATAATACTTCACAAATAAAATCCTTCACAAGCACAAGTTAAAAATTTTAGTAAGAATAAAAAGAATAGTCTCAGAATCAAGTTTTCCTTAAAGATTGGTGTGTTCAGGTATCAAGGCTGTGGCTGGATTGTTCTTTACTCGGTTACTTCTACCCAATTGCATGGCTTCCCCTACTGCTTCAATTCCTATCTGTAGTTTGGTCTAAATACTGCTCTTGTGTTCCAAGCCAGTTTAGTCTTATTTAGCTGCTTTTTTTAAAAAAAAATCTAGGGCTGGAGAGATGGCTCAGCAGTTAAGAGTACTGACTGCTCTTGCAGAGGACCCGGGTTCGATTCCCAGCACCCACATGGTGACTATAAATCATCCTTAACTCCAGTTCAAGGGGAATCTGAAGCTCTCTCCTGACCTCCACAGCATTGCACGACACGGGTGCACTCACATACTACACTCATACACATAAAATAAAAATAATAAAATATTTTTTAAAAATCTAGGTGTCTCAAAAAATGAGGCTTGGAGGCCTAAGAGATGATGGCTCAGTGGTTAAGAGCAGTGGCTGCTTTTACAGAGGACCTGGGTTTGGTTCCCAGCACCCATTGGCAGCTAACAAATGTCTGAAACTCCAGTTCCACGGGATCCAGTGTTTTATTCTGTCCTCTCTGGGCATTGCACAACATGGGTGCACTTACACACATGCAGGCAATATACTTACACGCATAAAATAAAAATAATTTTTTTTTTTTTGAGACATGGTCTTCCTGTAGCCCCATCTAACCTGGAACTTGCTATGTAGACTAGGCTGGCCTTGAACTTAGAGAGATCTGTCTGCCTCTGCCTCCTGAGTATTGGGATTAAAGGCATGTGCCACTGTTCCTGGCATAAAGTAGTTTTTTAAAAAAGAAAGAAAACGAGGCTTGTGCCCTGGTACCTTTTCTAGTCTGTGATCTGTTCATACTCCCCCAGCTAACTCAGGAGAGAACGCCTTTGCCTTTCATTGATTAGCCCAGGCTGGTCAAACAGTATGCTATAGATTGGACAAACAACAGAAGTGTGTTCTCTCACAGTTCTGCAGACTGGAATTTGAAGAATAAAGTGCCAGCCAGGTTGTTGGAGAAAGTTCTTTTCATGGGCTTCACATGGTGCTTTCTTGATGCTGTGTGTTTGCTTGGCTCATACGGGTCCAGGGTTAGAGAGCATAAGCATTTGATTAGATGTTTCTTATGAGGACACTAATTATTGGATCATGACCCCATTCTTATGACCTCATCTAACCTTAACTGTTTCCTGATAGACCCCATTTTTACATTCAGCTATACTCAATATTCAGACTGCCACATAGGAACTGGGATGGGGAGACACGGGATCCAGACATCAGTCCATATCATCCCCTTTTCCTCTCCATCTGCAGAGTCAGTCTGAAAGCTGAATCTCTTTAATTAAAGTTTCTTAATAGTTTCTAACTCTCTCTCCCAAAGTTTTCTAACTGCGGGACTACAGTCACGAGGGAACGCCTGCAAGGAAATACAGTATATTTTTAAATGATAGTTGGTAGATAGATTAGATCTGGTTTTCATTTTGTTTTTATGCTTTTTTCTGTTCTTTTAACTTTCTGTTATGTGCTTACGTTATGCTTAATGGTCAAGAAAAAATTACATATTTTTTCTCCTGTTGATACGAAGCTAAATGAGAATTGAAAAAAGTAAATAATTCTTGGAGAAGTGTACCCACGCTTTATTAATCTTTATATATCCAATGCTAGATACTTGCTAGGTGTGTAGTAAAGAGAAGGGACAGCTAGGGAATAAATATGAAAACCTGCTCAACTTCAAGGAAACACCAATCCGTATGATTGAAAAATGGCATATTGGGCTAGAGAGATGGCTCAGCAGTTAAGAGCACTGGCTGCTCTTGCAGAGGATTTGGGTTCGGTTCTCTGCACCCACATGGTGACTAACAACTCTTCGTAACTCCAGTTCCAAGAGATCCAATACCCTTCTTTTGACCTCTGTGGGCATAGCATGACACAGGTGCACCTATGTACATGCAGGCAATACACTCATACACATAAAATAAAAATAAATATTCTAGAAAATGGCCTCATTTTCCCCTTATTAAGAAATATTTTGCTAAATAAAGATTCTTAGACTGTTGGGAGAGGGAGAGTTTGTTTTCTTTAAGGGAATGAAACTAGATAGGTTGACCAGGCTTCAATGAATGGACTCACACTGAGGGATATTTCAAGACACAAACCTGGTTTAATAGGCCTTAATATGACAATGCATGGAATCTGGTGGGGGGGATTGGAGGGGTGCAATAGGGAAAGGGGTCTAATTTGATCAAGATGCATTATATGAAAGTCACAAAAAGTCACAAATTATTTTTTAATTCTTAGTTATATATGATGAGTATATAGCAAATTTTGCAAGAAACTACTAACATATTTTGCAGAGCTGTGCAGTGCATCCCACTACTGGCAAAAGTGTTGAGGCAGTGCTCCTCATTGTACTTGTGAAAATCCATGTAGATCATTCCCAGTGTGAAAGTCTAAATTGCTCAAAAAGTCTAAAACTTTGGGAGCATTGCTAAGACGCAAGTGGGAAATTCCACACTTAACTTGTCATAGGTCACAGTGAGTGCCACTAAAAATACTGCCCAAAATTACTTTTAGGGGTTACAGTGCTATACGCAAGGCCGTGGGTTTAATGCCCAGCACTGCCTAAAACAGATAAACCATCAGGCTATGCAAGTAAATGTCTATGAAACAAACTAGTTTTGTGATTAAACTTAGTCCCTTCCTCAAGATGAATCATTTTATACACATAAATATTCTAAAATCCAAGAGACCTCTACTCTTGACAACTTTCCATGAGAAGCCTCAGTCTGTAACTCTTCTGGAAAACATTTGGGCACTTTGAGCCAAGGCAGTAAAAATGCTTGCCTTTGATCTTCAAGAAACATCTTTGTGGGCTGGAGAGATGGCTCAGTGGTTAAGAGCACTGGCTGCTTTTGCAGAGGACCTGGGTTCAGTTCCCAGCAACCACATGACAGTTCACAAATATCTGTAACTCCAGTTCCAGGAGATCTGATGCCCTCTTCTGGGCTCCATGGGCACCAAGCACACATGTGGTACACATACATACATGCAGGCAAATACACATCATAAAAATAAATCTTTAAAAGAAATATCTTTGTAAGGGAAAGCAGGAAGTATGTGGAGATAATAGACTACAGAATGTATATGTGCCACAATTGTCTTTGATAAAATAATAAATGCTTAAACTGTGTATTAGCACTATAGTAAGCATTTTGGTAGACCCAAAGAAGACTTAAGGCATGTTCTTTGGACTGGGGAGATCTGGATAAGAATGCTTGCTGTGGGACTGGATAGATTGCTCAGCTGTTAAGAACACTGGTGGTTCTTGGAGAAGACCTGGGTTCGAATCCCAGCACCCACATGGCAGCCAACAACTGTCCGTAACTCCAGTCCCAGGGGATCTGACAGCCTCTTCTGACCTCCACAGGCTTTGCATGATGCGGGTGCACTTTCCGACATGCAGGCAATACACGCATACACATAAAATAATAAAAAATAAAATTGAAAAAAAAAAAAAGAATGCTTGCTGTGTGAGCATAAGGACCTGAGTCTGATCCCTAGCACCCACACAAAAAGCCATGGACTGGAACGGGAGCTAGAACTCAGCTGTTAAAGAGTACTTGATGCTCAGCCAGGCGTGGTGGCTCATGCCTTTAGTCCCAGCACTCTGTGAGTTCGTGGCCAGTTTGGTTTACATAGTTCAGGCCAGCTGGGGGTCCGGGGAAACCCTGTCTCAGAGACCCCCCCCCAAATAAAAGAAAATGTTTCTCACGCATAAACGCAACCCTCTTAGGAGCAGAAACATTGTCTCGCTTGTGGTTTGTTTGGGTTTTGGGTTTTGTTTTTTTTTTTTTTTTTTTTTTTTTTTTTAGACAGGGTCTCCCTGTAGCCCCAGCTAGCCTGGAGCTCACTGTGTAGACCAGGCTGGCCTCAAACTCAACAGAGATCCGCCTGCCTCTGCCTCCCAAATGCTGGGGTTAAAGGCATGCGCCACCACGCCTGGCCACTTGCTATTATCTACTGTGCTTGGTATGTTTATAAGGATTGTAGGTAGAGGGAGCTGGATATAGGAATTAAAATTAGCTCAATGAAAGATAAGGACAATAGTAAATTAGTTAGATGGTGTAATTGTGAAGTAATGATGTTTTCTTGGATGAGGCTGATGGATTGGACAAAATATGAGATTATAAAATCTTGATTTGAATTAGATATTAATACCTTGAATATATGCAACTAGAGAGCAGTCACAAAAATAGCTACTAGAAGCTGCCATTTGCAGAATATATTTTTTACAGGTACATTGCATCTTGCCATACATGAAAGTCAGGTTGTGCTGCAGATGATGCAGTGACTTGCCGGTAGACACAATAGTAGGCATGAGGCCTACCTAGGGTTATGTGCAGTGTACTTAGAAAGCTAGCCTTTTTATCACTCCTTCCAGGAAACCTTCCTCTAATGTCTCTGCAACCACATACTCTTGTACCTAGGCTAGCTTGATCCTTGTTTTCATATCAAATTTGTAACTGCAGTTTTACATTTACTTACAGAGCTATAATTACAATATGCCTTTGGAATTTGGGGACTTTCATTCTGATTCAGCTACTCCTTCAGTAACTGAAGAGTTACAGATGAAGGCCCATGATGTGGATAAGCGCACTGCCGGGCAGGTACACACAGAGGGACTTACTCCCCATGCGTGTAGGCCCAGCTCTCTGGTGTTAGCTACTAGACCAGCTTCAGAGGTTTGGATGGTGCTCTTCAGCCAAGTGTCGTGGTTCTTCTTTTTTTGTCTTACCTACTGCTCAGCTAGTTTATTTGGAATTCAGTCTACAAAGCTATTAGTCCATGCATATATTCCAGTCACTCATGTATAGTATCTTTAAACCGTAGGTCCTCTACTGTACCACTTTGAAAATCTGGCAAATGAACTTTCTATAGAATTGAGCTATGAGGATATTAAACATGTTGTTCTGCAGTATGGATTCCAGCTCGAGGTAAGGATGGGATGAAACAGTGCCAAAGCTTAACTTTTAAAACCTTTAAATGGGAATGTTGACATCCATCAGTTCCTACCTTGCTTTCTTAACATCCCTTTATTCTCATCCAGATAGTGAGGTTAACATTACATAACTTTCTGAATTATAGAGATTTGGGACAAATGTATAAAGGGAAAACTGTAATTCCTGTTGAAATAGGCTTTCAATAAATGGTAGCTGATCCTAATAATGGCCTTGATGGACACCAAGTAGACTAGGTTCTGGGGAACGTTGGTGGTGGGAAGGCATGTCAATGTAAAAGAAAGAGAATTCTTAGTCACGCCTTTAATCCTAGCACTTGAGAGGCAGAAGCAGGTGAATCTGAGATGAGGCCAGCCTGGTCTACCTAGCAAGTTTTGGGACAGCTGGGCTACAGGAAGATCCTTTATGAAAACACCAAAAACCACCGACATCAAAAAATGTAGCTTTCTATATCCTTTTCTACTGCCTGATTTTTTTTTTTCCTTTTTTTGTTATATGTTAACATAAGACTTTATGATACTTGGGCTGTTGTGTTTTCAGCTGTTTACTCTGAACACCGAGAGTTAGAACATTAAAGAGCTTTCATTTAGAAATATTCTATTCATTTACAAAATAACAGATTTGTTAAGACTAAAGAGCAGCAGTGTTTTTTAGTACTTTGAAGTTAAGACTGCCTGAACCTAAATCCCATTTCCACTACATACTAGTGGTGTGATGTTGAACTTACATAACCTGTTATTTTGTGACATGGGAGGGATTGCAAATCTTCTGTAGGTAGTTGTTTAGGTATTTAGCTATAACGACAACCCAAGTGCTTGGTATTGGTTAAGGATGTTGCCATCATACTCTTCATTGTCATTATGGTTTTTGTTTGCATTGCAGGTGGAAAAAGAATCTGTGTTATCAACATACACTGTGAATGATCTCTCTATGATGAAATACTACTATGAATGTGTTTTGTTTGTGGTCCGGAAACCACAATAATGGTCTTAGGTGATAGTACCCAGAAAAAAAGTTTGATAAGAACAAATGCTGAAATAAAGAACTCAGAAGTCAACTCTCTGTGACAGCAGGACACAACCTCAAATCAGTGGTGCCTTCTTATTCCTAACAAAAATTAGAAATAGTGTCTATTTTCTTAATAATGTCTATTGCTTTCTTCAGAAATATTCTATGCCTTGCAGATTTATACTGCACAAGTAAAAATGGAGGAAAATCTTCAAGTACACTTTTTCCCTTGAAGCCCAGGATTGTCTTTCATAGGAAAGATCCTAAACTCCATTCTTCATGAAGCTTGCAAGTCTGCCATATTATTGACTGATAGTATTTAAGTCCATAATAATCTTTTTGGTTTTGCACTGTCTTTGTTACTGTTAGAAGAGTCTAAATATCCTCTGTCATATTCTCTGTCATCTGGAATTGGAACTTTTGTTCACATTGGACCTAAGCAGTCTATACTCAGAATGTGTTTTGTTTTTTTTTTTTTAACCATCTTAATTAGTTGGCGTATTTTCTTATAGCTCAGCTGAATTTAGAGAAGCATCAAATACTTTCTTTTTATGAAATGCTAAAGTCATTTTTGTCACAAGTCAGTGAAATACATTTAAGTAAGCTGATCGGTCTTTTGCCAACCTAAACTGAACGTTACTAATTCTTGGACCCCTTTGAAATGTATGAGTTGTCAACATTCTGAGGAAGGCACAAAAGCTCTTTTTTTCAAAGCAGTGCTAAGAAACTGGAAAATAAGAAGAAAACCTGCCCGTCTGAAACACATCAAGTTAGAAATGAATTACAAAGTTTGTCAGTGTGATATTTACAATGATGTCTTTTATTTTAAGTATATGGATTATGAAAGCAAGTACCTTTTTAGTTGCAATAATTATGTTCTAGTAAAAGCTGCATAATAGTATTAACATGCAAAGTTTTGAGACTTCAGGGATAAATTAATGCCCATGGTCTGTCTTCAGCATTCTAAGTAGCAGCCCATTTGTGTCATTTCAGGCTAACATCAGTTTTGTTCCCTCATACAGATGAAGTTTGAACAGAGTCCATGCTGCTTTAGTTTTCTACCTCTAGGAGGCCTGTTTTGGAGGGAGATTTTTTCCTTTGTTGTTAATTTCAATGTTTGTTATTCTGTTTTGGCTAGCTAGGAATGACGAATGTTTTAACTTTTTCTTCAAGAAAATAAAGCTCTTGAAGGTAGATCTCTGAGTTTTAAAGCCAGCCTGGTCTACATAGCAAATTCTGGGCCAGCTGGGGCTACAAGGAGAGCATGTCTCAAAAAAGACCAAAAAAAAAAAAAAAAGCAGACTCTGTTGCTGAATCTTTTGATTGCTGGATGACCTGACAGTGAGGTGGATGTCATATGTGCTGGTAGCATGAGCGTGCATGGCTATGCCATACTCGGAAAATTTCTGTTTAGATCTTTGCTGTCACTTGGGACTATGGGAGTCACTCCAGGATCTGCCATCTTTCTGCTTGGGAGGGGGAAACTCAGTACATTTTACTACCACAGTGCAGTACACAGTTCCATAGAGTGAGTTTGACTTCTCAGGCTAGGGAAGTCTGTAATCTGCTTTCCTTTTTAAAGTTTTTCTTATTCTTGTGTTGCTTGGTACTTCATAAATATTCATTTGGTGGAAATTCTCATTACTTAGTAATTGCAGGAGGGAAAAATCTCCTCAGATTATTTATTTTTTTAAGCAACCCCCCTCAAAGAAACCTAAAAGAAATGTATCTTAAAAGACATCCATTAAATGCCAAGGAATGCATACTGTTGTTTTATTTAGGAATGCTTTTTATTCATTGAGTCATACTTCTTTTTTAACAACCTGATTGTTGTTTCGCTCACCTAGGCAAAAACAGATTGACATTAGTGGGTTTGTTTTGCTACCTAAAGTTTATTAGTTTTATTTTTTTCTTGTTTGTGCTATTAGGTTTTGTTCTTTTAATAATGCTACTTACATTTCTAAATTATATATTTTGCTTCACTCTTAAATCAGTTATTTCATTTATTTTTAATTTCTCTTGTCTCATGCATATTTTAAAAATATTCTATACAAATTTATATCCTTTTTTCTCTTGTAGCTTTTGCTCTTGCTATATTATAAACTTGAAAATATGGTATAAATCATCAAGAAGTGTCACTGGATGATCTATTTAATTTTGTATTTCTTATATTTAGATCCAGCTACTAAAGTAAGGCTTGAAGTTTTGTCTCTTTAAGTTAGCCCTATGCACAGATGTTCTCATTTCATAAGGTGATCATGTATGTACTTGCGTGTTTTAATTTTCATATTCTGAGGTGGTGGGTGTGGATTTAGATCTGTTGATCAATGAGCAAGGTGGGACGTAAAAATACACAGGAAGCTGTAGAAATCACAGTATAAAATGATCAAGTCGGGGAACTGTAAAGTGTACTGTATTTATATGTAATTCTTATTCTAAAAGTTGCCGGAAAGGCTGAATTGGAAGCTTCATGTCTGCATGAAATTTCCTATATTTTTAATGTTTATGATGGACTTAATTTTTCTTAAATATTAAAGTCTGCCAATTGCTATGAAACACTGCTTGGTTGTTTCCCTCTGTGATGATAGCCATTAAGTGTGGGAATTTTAATTAATTGAACACATACTTTTGAACTCTTGGTTAACTATTTTTGTATGTTTCTAGAAAGTAATAAGAGTAGCTGA